GTTAAATTTAACTGCTCGCCCTATTTCACTAAACATCACACTATCACACATTAGTAGGACATCTTCCTAAACATTTACATGCATTAATATATATATCTATACATATAATACAATTGGATTGTCTGTTTGTAATTTCAAAAGAAAAATTTCTGGAAAAGGAAGGGACGAAGGAAGAGAAAGAAAGAAGAAGGAAGAGAGGAAAAGGAAGATGTTGTATTTGAGTTGGTAATAACGAAAATCGCATTTAATTTTTTTTGTCTGTCTGCCTGTCCGCAAGCCGCGTTTGTTCCGGGTAATCTCCGAAACGACTGGACCGTTTTGACCGGACTTTTACTGGAGGGTAGCTGACATAGACGGGAACACTATAGTCTACTTTTTATCTTACTGCGTGGACGAAGTCGCGGGCAATAGCTACTTGTTCATATATTCTATCTAATGAAGTCGGAATCAAATTGCAATAAACGCAATTGAATTGAATGGGGTCATGACAAATATGTTGTTAGTTTCCACTAAATAAATGTGATATTTAAAAAATATCTATTGTTTCCTCAGAGAGAATAAGATGAATAATAATGTTTTCTTATAAATATCTCGGTAGTGAAACGCTTGTTGACATAGCCAAGCAATATATTGCGTTTTGCGGCCATCGTTTCTACTCATGATGTTTCAGACTAGGCAATGATTGGAGATTATTGAAACTTGAAGTATTTAAAAGATTATTTGTACACTAACGATAAACAAACAGTGCGTATACCGAGCAGCTCATGTAAATGATTGATGTATCCTTGATCTGGATTTAACACATCACTAATCGACACTAATTTTATGGTGTATTTCGCTAAACAAGTATTTTTTTTTAAATGCAGCGGGAACACCAAAATTATCTTCGATGTCCATGGTCATATGTAAAACCAGGAACAGTAGCAGTTTAGAAATACCACTAAGGACAGACCATTCCACAACGCGACTGTGAGAAGCAGAAGGTTTCAAGAAAACTAAAGTCATAGAGAATTTATATTTAAAAGCATTCCCTTTGTCCTTATTATGTTTTAATTTTATTTCCATCTCCATTTGCGACTCTTAGTAACTCAAGGTAAATTCATACGTTAAATACATTAACAGTAAGGAAATCTTTGTTGTATGTTGACATTTAAAAATAGCTTATAAACGTGTCTTTGTACATGATTATAGAACTTTTGGCAAGACGCAATGTTTTGTTACAAGACAAGAGAGAAAACGCCGCGACGCGCAAACAACTCTGATTGTCCGCCAATTGACCGACACTGATTGCTTTATTGAGAACGTTTTGCTAAATACAAAAAAATATTTCAATAACACATATATGTTAAGTAATCAATATTAAAGTTCAGTTAGATATTTTCGTATTATGTCAAATTTCCGTTAGTAAAGACTGCATAAATATTTTGGTTCAGCGAACCTTGTAATCATATGGGATAATGTCAATAACACTCACCGTGAGATCAGGCAGGCCCATAGCGAGATATTTCTTAAAACAATTCAACACAAACATCACATCGCACTACAAACTACGTATGATGAGCGGCGGCTACATTGCGCTGTTTGGAATAGAACAACAATGGAGAGAGATGGGATGAGAACGCGAAGACGGAAGGGGAGAGACCTTGCGGCAGCAGAACACGCTCGCTAGCATCGGGGCTCGGGGAGAGACTGACGCGACGCGGGACGCGTAGGGAGCACGGGACTCACGACCGTGCACATAAATATTTGGATGCGGCACTCTTTGCGATAACTTTACAACTAAACTATAAATAAGAAATTCCAAATGTAATAAAAATTAGAATTGATTTCTCACTAGATTCTTAATATTTCGTCTATAAAGATGTTTTTGAACTAAACCCTTTATATCAAAGAAAAAGTATCTATCTGTAAGCAATAGCGGAATAACAGTTTTATTGTTATTTTACACTGCAAGTTCAATGTACGATTTACTACATTATTATATAGTTACAAACTTATCGAACAAGGAAAACGTAAGTGTTACAAATACAATGCCGCATCCATATCTTCGACGTCTGCTATATTTAGCGGGACGGATAAGGCACGGGCCGGCGCAGGGCTGGCACACGCTTGTGCAAGGTGCCGTTAATTACGTACGAAATAGGTTAGCGAGCGTACTTTAATGACAATTTTATGTTGTTTTTTAATCTGTTGTTGCAGATGCGAGAATAATGTTTTTAACTAAATTGAACGTAACGACTTTTAAAGTCTTGTTACTTTTAAAATTCATCCTTATAGGAACAAGCACACAGAATTCTCATTTTAAGAATTTCTTCCCAGGATTTTATTCTTAAATATTTACATATACTTAGAAATTCAATCATATTTATGATTTCGTTAAGGAAAATATGTAATGTAAAATTTTTTCCTTAATTGCAAAACGCGTAAAGATATTGCTCACGTACTGACTGAATCACAAAAGCAGAAATTTAGTATCTTGTACCTAAACATATTTTTGTAAAATCAAATTATTTTCTACTTCATTTCCTCATTTGTGGAATCGATAAACACGTACCGTGTTTGCAACATTGTATTTGATTTATTTCATTATTTTCGTAAATAGACAACCCTAATCGCAGCATCAATATCTGCTGATAGGTAGCTGAGTCACCGCGGCAGGGGGTGAGGGCCGTGCCTCGTTACTGCACAACGCGGACCTGAACTGACATTTACCTAGCTAAGATTTAATGACGTCACCTTAAAAACAAAAGATAAGACAAATATGACCGAATTGACAATTTATACAAGCGAATACACAAAAATAAAAAAATGTACACAAAGTACCATAATTGTTATTAATGTTGCGTTCTGTCTAATCTGTATTTTTGGTAAAAATTGCTTAGTTTCCTCCTTGTACGATCACGTAACTAACAAATGCACTGATGACGCTCCCATTATAACCAATGTCAACGACAAGGCCACACGACATTGGGGAGACAGTAATTTGTAACGTATAAAATCATTTTATCTATGTTATTGAAAAAAATTGAAATTGATATAGTAATGCAGACTAACGGCCGTGGCTCTGGTCAGGCGCAGGTCATCGCGCTGCCAATTTGCTTTCATTGTAGAAATTGTATTAAAGTCAATTGCTTCATTACGCTCTAAATATGCGTAGGCGCAGGCAAATGGCTCCTTGCTGCTCGCATAAAACTATTTCACTACGAAACGAATACTGTTTGTTGTTGCTTTATTTGATACTAGCTATAAAATATACGAACTATAGAAATAACAAAAACCTACGTATCCCTCGGGTACATTTCTCGGAGATGAACATTATCCCATGTGTACTCCAGACTTTGTTTTATATTTGTGCCAAATTTCAACAAGATACGTTGAACCGTTGCAGGATGATCGAGTAAACATTAAAAAAATAAACTTATGAATCCTACGGGAATCGTAACTATTTCCAGAATTAAAGTAGCCTATGTATTCTTCCAGACTATGCTCTAAACCTGTGCCACATTTCATGGAAATCCGTTCAGCCGTTTAGGCTACAAACGCTAACAAACATCCATCCATCGTAACTTTCACATTTATAATATTAGTATGAAGTATGAAGTATGATATGATATAGCAATTACCACAGAAATACTAAATAGACTAATGACTAGGAAATACTATAATTTGTTATAAATTCTACGTTATGTGAAACACGATCCGTATAATGTCTATTAAAACACAGAATTTAAACCCTAAAACTTTGGAATAAAGGGTGTGATCGGAGTAATCATGACAGATGTATTTAGTATTAACAAAATATGTAATATTAATTTACGATATACGGACATCGTTTGTTGTCCGCGCGTTGTACATGTCCAGCGACCTTGGAGCGGCCGTCGTTGGCGCCACTCCAACTGTTATTTATATCCATGGACGCCGTCACCACTAGTTATTTCATATTCATTCTATTTCGCCTATCTAGCAATACTAATTGTCAAATTCGAAATTAAAAAAAAGTCGCTATATAGTTAAAGAATGCAAAAAGATTATCAGAACATTTAATAGCTTGGTATTGACAATACACGTTCAATCATATGTGCCTATATGTGCACGTTAGTAAGGTAAGTACAGTACAGTAATTAGGTTTTTTTAATAAACTTTAATTTCACACACACTAAAGTTATAAAAAATAACATAGGATTTTGACACACGATTCACGAACTCAAATTTAGTAAGGAAATGGTAGGCTAGAGGAAGATCGGAGACTGACTGTTCAAAAGAGTTATATTGCAAGTCAATAGAGCTTATTTGATGTTGTGTTAGCGCACTCCTGTGCGGAGTGGTGCAGCACGTACCTGAGCGACGTCGCGCAGCTGGTCGCGTTGCATACGCAAGTCGGCGACGCGCTTGAGCGCCGCGTCCTCCGCGCGCGCCAGCCCGCGCACCGCCTCGCGCACCAGCGCCAGCGCACACACCCACTCCGTCTGCGGCGCCGCGCCTCGCTCCTGGACAGAGCCCTTATATACTTCTTTTTGCATTACAAGCAAGCGGCCATCTGTATCCACCGATATGGCAAAGCGAAACAGAATATTTCTCTTTCGTTTGCGTCTCCTCCACCGTCAAAACCACTTTTTCTTCGCATCCTTTTCTTAAGAGAAATGATGAGAAATAGAAAATTAGAAGGAAACATGGAATTACTCCCACTTGACGCGTGTTTTCTGTATTGTCGTGGTATTGGTGGGCGCGAGCGCTAAGTGCGCAGCCGGTGCAGCCGTGGGCGCGGCAGTGTTACCTGCGGGAGTGGCGCCTTGTCCCGCAGCGAGACGTCCTCGCTGGGCTCGCTGCAGCAGGCGGAGGTCTGCTCGTGCGCCTGCTGCAGCAGCCGCGCGCGCTCCTGCACCTCCGCCTCCAGCCAGCGGCACTGACATAGACAAATTATTACTATTTTTAGCTCTTTGTATGTATTCAAACAACTCAATAACTACTGGACCGATTGCAAAAATTATTTCGCCGCTAAAAAGCTTCGTTATCAGTGAATAATAACAACCTATGTTTTTTTTATTATTTGTTAATTTACGAAGACAAAGTTGCGAGCAACAGCTAACATTCTTATAAAAAAGACTCTGTAACAATCTGAAGTATTTGTAAACACTTAAAAATGATCAAATAAATATCAGTACTAACTGAAGTTAACAGTAGTTCAGGAAGTAATCTTTATAAGTAAATGAGATATCCGCGAGAACTATAATAGGATCAATCAATAATTGTACGGAACAAGTAGATAATAAACATTTCCTTGGAATAAATTTATCTGATTTATACTTCTAATTTTTTTTTAATATTAGGTGAAATTATCTCAATGGAAAACTGATTAAAGCCATCGGTTTACAATATTTTTAGAAAGAATTGTTCGTTTAAGCCTATGAGTAACTACGCCCACTGAATCCCACGCGTGTAGACTTTACAACGTATATCATTGACTGAATGAAAATTAAAGCTTTTCTATAGAAAACTTATTACTTTCGAGTTCCGCTATTGATATAACTATTGCTCAAGACTTCGCCTGCGTGAAGTAAAAAGGTAATATAAAAATATAGCCTGTCACTTGCTGATAAGATAGATTTTTAATGGTGAAAGAATTTTTGAAATCAGCCAAGTAGTTTCCGAGTTATTTCAATACATATAAAAGTACAAATATTTCCTCTTTGTAACATTAGTATAGATATTCAATATCTTCTACTTATCATTTTTTTTATTGTTATGGATTTAACGTATCGAAAAATATACACAAATACGTCAATAAGATTTGAACATATCTTTATGAATTACTAAGAGAATTTATTACTTAAACTTATGTCCATTATAAATTCTCTGGAGTGTCTCCAACAGAACATTGACGCAAACCGTTTTGCCAAATATATCAATAAACTGTAAAAACATATTATTAGAAGTCGTACTGTGGGTAAAAGCGAATTTATAAATCTAAGGATGTTATTTCAACTTTCAAACTAACAGTATAACTTTTAAATTTCTATTTTCTATAGACGACAACAAATTTGAGAGTATATCTAACCTGTTCTGTAATATTATCTAGTAGTTCTTTATATCTGTGCTCTTCTTGATTACAATTCTCACAGACAACTTCACTCTGGTCTACTTTCTCGTTCTTCAGAGATTCCAGTTCCCCGAGCAGTGCTCTCATCTTGCTGTCCCTGTCTTCTATCGTCTGCTGCATGCTCTCCAGCTGCTGCAGGATGTCGGCTTCTCTCTTGTTCTTCTGCTCCAGCTGGCTCTCCAGGTTGGCGATGATGTCTCGCAGGAGAACCACCTTCTCTTCGTAAGACTTTAGCTCTTCATCGGAGTTGGTTTTCTTGGCTTCCAGGTCCGTTATGATTTGGTTCATATCTCGTGTTTGAGCTTCCAATTGCTCCACCTGATTGTGATAATTGAAAGTTTACTTTGAAACTACTAACATTTTTATTACAATTACTTTATACTTTACTATATTCTAAATGTAAAAATTTGGATGGATGGATGTATGTTGCTACTTAATAAAACATCTTGACGGATCTTCATGACATAAGTCATAGATGCAGAACATAGTCTGTAAGTACAATTTAAACTTCGGCCGACAGTTACGAGCCAAAGCTAGTTTGAATCGTAACTACAAGTAATACGCGTATTTTCAATGTTAGTACAAAACATGCGATTATTACAACTAGCATATACAAGCAGCTACAATATACATAAGGTAAAACATATAAAATACAAGGCGTAGTGTGTACAAGCACATTGCGTACACAAAGTACAGTGTACAAAACTCACTTTGCGGTGGCAGCAGTGCGCGCGCAGCTCGTGCATCTACAAACACGCGCTGATATGTGTTATGTATGAAAATACCGGTTAAATAGAAAGCTGTTACCATACTAGACAGATAAGTGCAATATTTTGTAAATACAAAAAACTTGCAATAATATTAAGTTAGTAAATCACCCACTATTTAAAAAAATATAGAAGTGTATGAAAAAATCTTAACACGATTCGTGCAAATTCGATATTTTAAGTCAGCAGTATTTGTTAACTTATCACTTAGCCATTACCATCTATCTAAAACACTCGAAAAGAATTATGTTATAAAGAAATAGATTAAGAAGTACTAGGACAACAGCTAATAATAATAATAAGAAGCCCTGCTCCATTTTAGAAAGAGACAGAGTTAAGAATACCAGGAGATCAGTTAGCATAAAGAACCATTTGAAAAATTATCTCTACGTTAGATTGAAACAGACTCATTAGTACTAGGACATCAGCTAGCAATAAAGAAAATAACACTTTGAAAACCACCTCCGTGTTAGAGTGAGACAGAGTTAAAAGTACCAGGACATCATCTTACAGTGGGGAAAACAACACTCGAAGACCATCTCCACATTAGAAAGAGACAGAATTAGGAGTACCAGATCAGATAGCATAAAGCAACATTTAGTTGTGCATTTACACATTAGAAAGAGAGAGACAGTTGCAAGTTGAGGGGATACCTCAGCCAGGATGCGGGCGTTGGTCTGCAGCCTGGCCAGCAGGCGCTGGTTGTCGTCGCGCGCGTCGTGCAGGCGGCGCGCGAACTCGTCGCGCTCGTGCTCGCGCTCCGCCGCCTGCTCCTCCACGAACTGGCGCGTGGCGCGCAGCTGGCGGTGCGCCGCCTCCAGCTGCCACATTGTATACAGTGCACACTTGTACCAGGGCCACATCACAATGTGTAGAAGTATTACAAAGAAAGTTTCTAGTATTCGTTACTATTTACAAAGATACGATATAGATTTAATAAATTTTTAATATACAATACTGAACATTAAAGTAAGCCATGCTGCTACGTGTACATAAAAACTTGTAAATGAATTTTTTATGTAACTTTATAGGTGTTTTAAAGAGGACCTTTAGAACTTGCATGTACTGACAGGTGAATTGCAACTGTCTTATCAGCATTTTTAAAATGTTTTCAAAATATCCTAACACATAAGCATGCATCCCTAAATGAATCAGAAAATTAAGTTTTTTTTAATGTTTTTTAACATATATTTTTGCGAGCATGCTGTACATATTGTAACTGAAACAGTAATAGGCATGTGCAAGTGCAAGCAGAGCCGGGGCAGCGCGTTACCTTGAGGCAGCACTCGCTGTGCGCGCGCACACCCGCGCCCTCAGTCTGTGCGCGAGTGCGGGACAAACATTCAACATGTTTATCAATATATCATATAAATACATATAACAAAACTTTAAAAAATGAATATAATAGATGGACTGCATAGGGGTGATAAAGTACGGAGTGACTGAGATGACTGAAGATAGATTAAGCTGGAGGACGATAATGGCGCGTCTTACGGGAGTAGAATATGAATGACAAATGGACTATGTTGAATTGCAATGTGGTGTGTGGCAAAACTTTAGTGT